CTTACTTGCACTGCTACGCTACTGTAATGGCTACTGCCGTACTGCTACTCGCTACGTCTACTTGCTACTGCTACTGCTACTGCACTACTACATGTGTAGTATGAATTACTGCGCTACTGTGCTGCACTCGCTATGCTATTGCTACTACTGACTGTTTACTACTAATACTGCTACTTACTAATACTATTGCTTACGCTGCTACGGCTAACTGCTACTGCTACCCTGTGTGTGTTGTTACGTCGCTACGAGAATTAAATAGATGGTGGCTTACGACTGCTTAGTGATGCGCGAACACAATATGACGATTCCCTTTAAATAACTCATCCTGTAGTTTATACTGAAGCTCGACTAAAGTCGTAAATAACGCGGAATTATAATGGATTTTTAGTTTCCAATAAGACAGAAAATCGCAGTGTTCGAAATTTCATTTCTCGTAATCTGAAGGGCTAAGTTAACATCCATCTATGCCAGGGGCCATAACCCATGTCAATAGCCTATTCCCTGGTCTGACCTGCTTTCTCTCCTCAGCCTAGCTTGTTTCCTTAACGGCGCCATTGCCTAAATACAAATCGCACTTCAACTATTGGACCCTGAATCTTATGAAGAGATCTGCATACTGACCTCACGCTCAAATAAACATTGGTTGGAATTTAATATGCTCACGTGCATGTCAATTAATTGTTCTATCACTGGCATACTAGACGAACTGTCTCCATCGCTGAAGTACGTACTCCCAATACTGGCCTACTTGCTACTGCTGCCCTCCTCACATGTAGTCTACTCGCTACTGCTACTGCTACTGCTACTGTGAAATGCTAGCGCCACCTCGCAAGGCTTGCTACGATACTCAACGTTAACCAATGCGACCCCGATAATAGCGCTCCACTCGATTTGAAACAGCAACACGTGTCCGTCTGTAGGACAGGTGCGTCCCTGAGACGTACTTTCTTACTGCTTGAATCTAGCTTAGAGAATTAACTGCCGCTTTACTCCGATAACACCAGCGCGTTTGACAGATGGGCTTGCGACGTCTCTTCTTATATTATGTTACTTTCAATATTAATTTTCTGCTGCGCATGTTACTTGTGTTTTACTGAATCGGAGATCAAATATATAGCTTCAAACAGCGGAATGAACCCGTACAGAGCATGCACGCAAGTGCGAGCTCTCACAAATCTCCACTCCAAGATAGAGTGCTAGACTTGCGATGGCAAAACAAAACAAAGATAGTTTACTAACTCTATTGTAGACAGCTGCTCGATACACCAGCTGCTTTGGCTATAATCTCGTGCTGCACGCATACATGTCCCCGCTCTGCTGCTTCTGCACGCTTACCGTTTTGCTGCGACTGCTAAGCTTTCAGGTGTCTGGAAGACATATATCTAATATTCACTTGCCGTTATTGTTGCACTTGCGTATTACGAGTCCCCTAATCGTGTTTAATCACAAGCGATCATTAATTTATATAAGTTTTAAATACATTGAGCCAGCAGCCGTAAAGCTGGGTATGCCGTCTCTTTATAGCCTGGGCAAGACGGCTTTAGTAAGCTACCAGTCATTGCAAGTAGCCTAGATGTTCTACCGCGTTAGCGGCATACGCGCTTCGCTCGCTTGCTGGTTCAACGTTTGATCTGAGTGCGTGGCCTCGACTTTCAGACCTCGCCATACTTGTGAGATCAGTATCTATCGCTTTTATATAATAATAATTAGACTTGCTAACTTAACGTCCGTATATTGCATAATAAACGCAAAAGTAGAGCGTACTCTTTAAGGAAGTGACTCTGTCTTTATACGCTCTTGATTAATAACCTGTATATTGATAATGACGCTATATGATAATAACGCTATATTGATTCCCACTTTAAACACCTTCTGCATACTTATATTGATATGTCCACGACGATGCGCATCAAAAATCAATATTTATATTGAGTTAATTAATGAGCTCATATTGATGAAATAACGCCTTATATCGATAAGACGCATTGACCCTTATAGTCAGATAACGTATGAACCTCATATTGATAATGACACTATTTATTTGTAGTTAATATGTTGCCTTAGTCTGATTACATAGCCAGCTGCATACTATTAAATATCTAGTCCAGATAAATCATACGACAATACTTCACTATTCTGGCATTCATAACAACTACTAACTCTATGACTCTATATTGATATGTTAATATCGTGTCTATATAACTGCTTGTAGACCTGCTAATATATTTTGGCTCACTATAGCATAATGCTCTATGCATTTTTGAATAGATAGCACTACCTGCCTCATAAATTTCAAAAAATTATTGTACGACGACCTATTTAATATTTACTAGTCAATAAACTCGGTCCTATAATAGTTCTTTAAAGGGCTAATATACTGCTGCCCTACTCCATTAAGGCAATTGATTAAAATAAGCGCTCACATTAGCATACTAATATAGTTTTGCGAGCCTATATCTGCTGAACGTTAACGCACTGACCTGCTATGAGTTGACTGTACCGTGCCTACTGCTTTATCGTCACTATTATTAGTACTAGGTAACGACACTATTATTGATAACGAGTAGACACACACACACACACACACACACACACACACACACACACATACACACACACGTACACACACACACACGCGCCTATAAAGATTGTTACGCGTAACAGAACGATCTTTACGTTTCTGGCGTTTCACAATCGCCGTGACCCTGATATCATTGTTATATACTTTCGTTCCGATAGCAAACTGCTTGGCTTAGAACTGACACGAGAAAGCATTTCGATTAGGAGATTAAACGGCTGTTAGAAGCTGAGACGTTTTTCGTTAGTTTTTGCTGGCAGTGCTTTAAAACGCCCGCATGTTCGGATCGCGAATTTCTTCACTCATATATCCCGGCATCTACTAAATAATATTATCTTCTATATTAACATAACTACAATAAACTTTTCCCGCATCACACTTTCATTATTTCTTCACTGTCTCTAATGAGTGAACGAAGTCGTGCATGATAACACATAAACAACGATGAATCGAAAAAACGCCTGATTCAAACTTGACTGCGGACAAGCAAAAATGGCTGCAAATGACCATTTGTTGACAATTTAGTTTGCCTCTAGACATTGTAGTATGGTATACACCCCCATATGGCAATATTACACCCTCTACATTGCGCATGGGCAATATAGTTTAAATCCTTACACCCATGCGCAATTCTCTATGCTCTCTGCTAGACATGTCAATGCCCATGCGTAATGTAGAGGGGTACATTTGCCATATGGAGGATGCATTGCATGTTTCACCACCAGTCTACGTAGGGCCACCACGGCGGAGGAGGGACCATCAACGACAGGCGGCTTCAGATGCGTCCCAAAACACGTATAGCGGAGGCTTGACTGTCGTTTGTGAACATCATGGTATTATTAGCCGAATCGTTACGCCTGAACGTCTTTGCAAATTGTTAATGCCCCGTAGCTCACGCTTGCGTAGAGTCGTGTCACGCCGCGAAAGTAAACAACGGGCGCGTCGTCATAGCGATACACCTGTGTAGCCAGCCGAAAGGTAGGTGTTTTGTTTTCTTTTTATAACAATTGTAGCTCCTTGTGTGCGTGCGGGAGCGGGTACGTGCGTGCATGCATGCATGCGTGCGTGCGTGCGTGCGTGCGTGCGTGCGTGCGTGCGTTTATGTTCACGTGCGCGTGTGCGCGCGCGTATAAGTGTGTCTGGATGCCTTTACGTATATATCTCGTATGTATCATATATCTTTACAGATCGCTGTTTATATGCCAAAACCTAGTTTACTGTACTTTACACGATTAACAATCTATGTATGGATCTATATGTATAATCTCTGGATCTGTCTCGTATCTCAACCGTATTCAAATGACACCGTTTTTTGATGAGAAATATAAAAGGTGCATGGATTTTTTTAACGAGTTATTATCCTTTTTCGTATCGTGTATGTATACCGTTACCAGCATGAGAGCGTAGCTCTCTAGCGGTCCAGTGCTAGCAGTCGCATGTGAATGAATGACAAAAAGGAGGTAATTAAACTACCCGCATGGTCGCGTGCGTGAGACAGAGAGATCGCGTGTGCACTCGGTGCCTGGCGAACGCGTGGGGGCGGCCGCGAGTAAAGGATGCGTTAATAGAAACAAGAGCTGACGATTCTGTTCTTATAAACGCCGATCTAATCTCCCTGGGTGCACGGCTACGATGATGTTCCGCATCAAAATGAGATGCGTGTGTAGTTGAATTGTATTTGCTACTCGGTTAAATTGACACTTTTACGCGGTAAGAATGGATATATAAGATCTCCAAGAGCCATAGTGGTTGAACGCATCGATAGAGATGTTTTCGCACGGCAGACCAGCTTTCACTGAGCAAAATTGGAGTACATACACGACTGAGTGACTACGAGTGTAATGCGCTTACACCTGTTAGTGTCAACGTGGCAAGTTTTTGCACTCGCTTACTCACACTTAAATTGCGTTAAAATGATATTTTTCGTTTGCTTTCCACATATCATACTCCTGGTGGTAGTAGATATGCCAGGTGTTCCCTTTTGTCGCGTATCGGTTGCAACAATTCGAGTAAATGTATACAGCGAGGTTTCATCATAACCGAACAACAATAACCTGTTAGTGAAAAATAATTCCAGGAGTGCAGTAAATCTATATCGCTGGTGGTTAAGCTGGTCAGAAAGTGCATTTTTGTTCTAAATGCATCTAGGAACTTGATGTAAGATCATGCTACTGCTATCTATAAAACGCCTATATATATATACCATGATATATGCTGTGCAGAATAGAAATATATTGTAATAGTATATATGTTGTGCACGCATGAAAGCAAATAATAAACGTGAAGCGGACCGTGAGTGTGAACGTGACCATGACTGTGACCGTGAGCGTGGACGTGACCATGACTGTGACCGTGAGCGTGGACGTGACCATGACTGTGGCCGTGAGTGTGAACGTGACCATGACTGTGACCGTGATGTCGTGAACGGACCATAACTTTGACCGTGCAATGTGACGTGACCATGACTGCTGACCGTGCAGGCTGCGACGTGACCGGATGAGCTGGACCGTGAGTGGTTGACTGAGTATGACTCGTGACCGAGCAGTGCTGAACGTGACTATGACTTGACCGCTGAGCCTTGTAAACGTGACCATGACTGTGACGCTGAGCGTAAACGTGACCATGACTGTGACCGTGAGTTTGACCATGGACTGTTGACGCGCTGAGCGTGCTCTTTATCTGCCTGCCGCCTGCCTCTGTCGCCTGCCTGCTGCCTGTACCTGCCTGCCCTCTCTCAACCTCCTCTCTCATCTCTTTCTACCTCTCTCTCTCTCTCTCTCTCTCTCTCTCTCTCTCTCTCTCTTTCTCCTACTCTCTGTCTCTCTCTCTCTCTCTATCTAATCGCTCTCTCCTCTCTCTCTCTTCTCTCTCTCTTTCTCTCTCTCTCTCTGTCTCTCTTTTTTGCGCTCTCTCTCTCTTATCCGTCCCCGTCTTTCTCTATCTTAGGCACGTACGGCTATTATCTAATTGTTAATATTTTTGTATAAAACAGATGGCGAGTGCTGTGAGAGGGGAAAAACGCCCCCCACTTAGACAATCAATCATGACGCGCATTATTCAGTTGGTGTCAATAATGGCGTGCTTTCAGCAGGGAAGCGAATGACATTCAGTTTCTCCATATGTCGTCTAAAGTTTTAAAATGCGATGTACAATTGTGTTGATGAATATCTCGTTAGACATTATATATTACCAGCGAGATGTATAATGCACAATTTCATTATACATTCCTGATACTTCGTATATGTTATTTCCAAGTGAGCACAACACCTGCCTTGCCTGTTGCTGTCGACTACTGCTACTGCCTATTCTACTGCCGACTGCGACTTGCTTACAGTACTGCTACTGCCTACTGCTACTGCTACTGCTACTGCTACTGCTACTGCTACTGCTACTGCCCCTACTGCTACTGCTACTGCCCGACTGCTACTGCTTACTGCTACTGCTACTGCTACTGCTACTGCCTACTGCTACTGGCTACTGCTTACTGCTTACTGCCTACTGCTACTGCTACTGCGTACTGCTACTGCGACGTACTGCTTACTGCCTACTGCTACTCTACTGCTACCTGCTACTGCTACCTGCCTACTGCATACTGCTACTGCTTACTCTGACTGCTTTACTGCTACTGCTACTGCTACTGCTACTGCTACTACAAATACTTCATTGGCTATTGGTGCTGTTACTGCTACTGCCCTACTGCTGACGTGCTACTCACTACTGCTAATGCTGCTGCTAATGCGACTGTACTGCTACTGCCTACTGCCTACTGCTACTGCCTACTGCTACTGCGTACTGCTACGCTACTGCTACTGCCCCCTACTGCTACTCTACTGCTACTGCTTACTGCTACTTCTACTACGAATTGTTTCCTGCTATTGCTACTTGCTGCTGTTGCTGCTGCTACTCCCTACGGCTTACTGCTACTGCTACTGCTACTGCTACTGCTACTGCTACTGCTACTGCTACTGCTACTGCTACTGCTACTGCTACTGCTACTGCTACTGCTACTACAAATAGTGCTACTGCTACTGCTACTACAAATACTGCTACTGCTACTGCTACTACGAATACTGCTACTACTACTACTACTACTACTGCATATAGTATGCGTACATTCAGGCCCCCCGCATACGGGGAGACTCACGAAGCTCATCGTGTGCGGGGGTAAGAGGTTCCTGATGAGCACGGAGCGTGAGCTTCGTGCTGAGCAGGAGTCTTACCGTATGCGGAGGCCTGAATGTACGCATCGCGTTGCCTCTCAACACATATATATCTAAGATTGATATAACTGAAATGTACACTCGACTAATTTTCTAGACATCGATGATTAATTCGTCTCCCAAATATCATGATTGCCAAATAAGCCAATTATCTGAAAGCATCGATTATGCATTAGTATCTTCATTCGGCTTTATAACTATTATAATTTTTTTATGTGCACATGAAATGCCAACGTAGTATCAGGTTTGCTCCATGTTAACCCTTTATGTCATACTTCGTTGTGTGGCGAACTTCTGAGCGTTTCGGACTGCCAATGGTCGCTTTTCGATGTCGACGAATTATAATGAATGGCCGCTCGTCGTACACAGTTGGATACATGTAGTAAAGGCGACTTCCAATGCAGTCGAGCGCACCATAGAATTTACGTTTGAGTTCGTAAAGTGCGACAAAACTTCATGGGCATTGACGCAGCATCCTTACAATTTCAAATGGTGTACTGCTTGAAAGCGTTTCGTATAAAATGCGGTTTGACATAGTGAAAGGTCGCGTATGCTATTCAATGTACGTACACATGACGCTTGCATATCGCTAGACATTTAAAGGCCCAGTTATACATAAACTTGCATGGTTATTAAAGAGTCGGCACGCACCATGCGCCACGCTGTTTAAGGTGAATAGCGCGAGAGACCTTCTACCGATCGGCATACCGGAGTACGTGTATGAAGAAGAAGGTGACGTCACGCTCGGCTGCATGATCCCGCTGCATCGCTTCTCATCTACGAGTCTCTGCGATGAGGATTTGAACGCCGTGCCGCCGTGGACGCCGGCATTCTACACGTTTAAACACGCTGTCGATTTAATTAACAGCAACAGCACTCTGCTCCCTGGTACGTGCCTTATAGTGTCTCAGCGTAACTTATCAAGTATAAAGTGGTGTGAATTACAAATGAGATATAAATAAGCAAGACCAATGTGATAAAATTAGGAGTGTATAATATAGATTGTATAGAGTGTATAGGCTATATTATACACGCCTGATAAAATCACATCACATACATCTATATGAGCCACTATGCCGATAAACCTTTGATCAGCATTAATCAATTGGGAGGGAAAATCACAAGGTGCCCCTCTCCATAAACAGTGGGCATTGGTGTGCTTATACTAAGTTCGGAAACGCATTACAAATTTTAATGACGACTCGTTCTATTTTGCCTTAATCACGGAGAGCGTGTCTATTAGCATGACGTCGTGTAAACATATTGTCGTTGTAACTAACCATAAAAACATATCATTGCTAAATTACATCATCCTATAAGGCCCTCGATCCCTGCAATCTAACACAGAGAATCTATCCGAGTTCAGCCATGCCCTGTGAATCTCATATTGCCACCATCACTTTCGAGTTCGTGCTTGTTGTCTTGGTGATCAATTGTGTAACATTGTCAGTGCTTGCGCCACTGCGGTAGCTTCCTTATTGCAGGTATCGACCACTCTCACGCCAAGCCGAACACCTGCGTATAAACATATTATGCTCGCGATTAACTCCATCATCAGCTGATGGCGGCTAAATGTAAATATACTTGATCCTCTTTAGGTATTGAAATCGCTTTGATAACCAACTTCCCAATACACGCGCATGCTCCTACGCTCACGCACGCAATATATTTACTTTATAAATTTATTAATGAATTTTATTCGCTTACACTTGACCTTTCGGCATTCACAGACATAATATGTTTTGATGTAGCTATTAAACAAGTTATCATATTATATTAGATACGAGTGATAAAAGAAGGAAATTTATTTACAGCTACGGGGTCGCCTAGCGAATGTATAAAATAGCGTACTGTCCATATACGTGCAAATTCATGAATAGACAAAGAGCGTGGAGACAGAGATTCCTGCCCGAAACACTAAGCAACACAAGCAGAAAATTATATTATATTATAGGAGTTTAGTCAATTGCGGTATCTCGTGTCTGTAGTAATACATTTTTATGTTATAGCATACTTACCTGATGTTGTTGGAATAGTCGGCGATGGACGTAGTCATGGCTGCATTCAAATGGCTCCTCTCTTGATGCTCTATGAAGTTCCTCAAATCAGGTACGGTACCTGTATACCTGTGCACGCGTACGTGCTAATACAAGCTTTATACATATCACGATTTATGGCTGTTTAGCTAATTAGAGAAAGCTTAATTTAGCCACTTGCCCCCGTTTTGATGTGCTATGAAGTTACACAAAGCAAACACCTGCGTATATGTGGGCACATGCTTAATTGTGTGTGCGCGCGTGTGTGAGCACATATCAAACAAATAATATATAGTTCGACGGGTAATCCATCCAACTTGCAATGGCTATTCAGCTACTGGGCCACCAATGACATACTCAGTGACCGGGCTAGATACAGCTTTTTCTACCGCACCGTGTTACCGGACAATGATCGCATTCGCACAATGATGGATGTTGTGTCACATTTCGGCTGGACCTACATATCATTGCTCTATCAGGACGATCCACACGGACATAATGCGCTCAAGGGCATCAAGTATTTATTCCATTTACAATTCATAATGTATCTATAAATCTATTAGACGGGCCAAGGTTAATAGTCGTTATTACCATAGCAACCGCGCTACTTTTATGCGAGCGTTATTCCTTATTATTATCATTTAGCCATTTATTTACACGTTAGACATCAGACGTTAAACGTTAGAAATTAGAGATAGGAAATAAAAAATAGACATCAGACATTAGACATTAGAAATTAGGTATTATGCAGACACTTACCTAATATATTTGGCATAACTGCAGTACTTGCGTTGTCGCAGGCGGCTGGCAGCGGAGAGAGACATTTGCCTTGCCGTAACGAGAATGGTTGAGTGGTCAATGGACAACGAAGAAGACTACATTTGGCTCGCACAAGAATTAATCGATAACTGGAATGCTAGAGTGGTCCTTACGTATCTATTCGAACCGTTTCCACATGGAATTATCCGTGCTTTGCAAACACTTGGAGCAGAAAATCACTTCATATTCTTTGCATCTGACACCTGGGCTCAAACAACCGATGAATTCAAAGAAATTAGGACCGTTGCTCAGGGCGTATTCGGTTTTGACACTTATGCGAATCAATTGGCTGACTTCAGAGACTACTTTAGAACATTAAGTTTAGAAACAGAGAAACACAACCCGTGGTTTGTGCAGTATTTAGAGTCATATCAAAACTGTAGCATAGATGCGTCATCTGATAGACCTTGCAGCAGCACGGACCTCTTTAAGATGTACCCAGAACTGCCCAACGTTGCCTATTTTATTATTGACCCCGTGTTCGTATTTGCACAAGCAATTCATAATATTAGAGAGACGCAATGTCCTGGTGCAATTGGATTTGCTTTGAGGCAGTGCATCACCGGACCATTAATATCACAACAGCTTAATTATGGACAGTTCAATAGTCCAGCTGGAAATTCGATCATTTTCGACGCCGTCGGTAACGTAAAGGGTAAAATATCAATACGCAAATTTACAAAAACCTTCAAAATAAACAATGCCAATATCTCCGGCACTAATAATTCAGCCAGCGATTACGAGATGGTAGGAGTAGGATACTGGGACGTCCTCACCAAGTCCTTGAACATGAATGATGACAACATACATTGGCCAAAAGACCACACGGAAGAAGGCCCACCTGAGTCTATTTGCAGCAAGCCATGTCCAGAACGCTTCTACAAAATACAGCTGGAGCTGCCGTGCTGCTGGGAATGCCGCAGCTGTCGAATCAATGAGTATTTGTTAGGTAAATAACACCTGTGTTATGGCTATTATGGATAATTACCACCTATGTGGTGGCTTGCTGTGAGGCCAAGCAACCATCGATATACCTATACGTATAAAACGTTTTTTATCACCAATAGCCCGTGTAATAAATAATGCAAATGTAAGGTAGGTAACTAACAGTTGAGACCATAGCCGAAGCCATTTGTTCTCAACTGTTGTTTCTATCGAGTATGCTTATATAACAATACTACATGGTTTATAACATTGCTATAGAGAATCGAACGGACTGCTTGCGGTGCCCGCTGTACTCGTGGCCTGACGAGCTGCACGGCACGACTTGTGCACTTATACCTGTGACCTACATCCAATGGGGAGATGCTCTGGCCGTGCTATTAACTACCATCGCCGTCGTTGGCTTCATTGGCACCACCGTAATAGGTGTTCTTTTCATCAAAGTGAGTTTACTCATCGACAACTTATAGTAAGTCAGTTCTATAAACGTGTAGATCTATTTCCCTGTACGTGTACATCTAGAACAACACAGGGATGCGGAAACAAACGATAATTAATTGGAAATAAGAGGGTATATAACTAAAATACTATCCAGATGAGACG